TCAGGTTTCTAAGAACAAAGTAAATACTTCCAATTTTATGAATGCCATGCTTTGACCCAAGTGGATTTGCTGTTTCAAACTCATCAAAGAAAATCTGAATTTGGAGAGCATTTTCGTTGTTGGAGAAGAGGGGATGAGATTTAAAATAACTTCCATCACAGAAATCTTTGTACACAAAATGTTGATTTGAAGGCTGAACAAAATTGCTAAATATCTCTTTGTTGGAAAAAATGAATTTTAACGTCTCTAATATGGGAATGTAGACAAACTTATCTGTTACTGGAACCTGAGGTACAAGAGGTTTGATTTCTTCTTGCATCATATCGGACACCAAGGGCAATCTCAATGGGTTCGATAACCCCCCATTTCTCTATAAAATGTTTCTTCCATTTTGCCTCTGTGTTAACATTACTGAATGGATTCTCAAGATTTTTGAAATAATTACCCAACTGGACATTCAAATCCTCATTGTCAGAACATATGTTTAGAAGATCTTCTTTGATATTTGTTTGAACTTCATCTACAAGTTCCTCCACATTTTGAACAACGGACTTTATTATACTGGTTGCAACACCACAACCTAGAAGATTTGCAATCACAGATGCACACATGTCTTGAGTTTTTTTTTCCATTTCACTGCTAGTTGAACTTTGTGGTTGTTCTTCAGAAGAACAAGATGGCTCTTCAAAAGCACAAGATGGCTCAAATGAGTGATTTACTGCTGATTTAGTTTTTTCCTCAAAATTATCTACAATTCTAGCTCTGTGCTTGTTCTGAAGGTGTTTTCGAAATCCTGAAAAGGTGCAAAACCTCTGACAACATCCATCTTGGTCACATAACAGTTTAAATTTCAAACCAGGGTAAAATCCATGAGAAAACTTCGGATGCCGAACCAAGCCTTTGACAGTGCAAAAGGTAGACTTGCAAACAAAACATCGAAGCATCTTTTTGTGTAGCTGATTCAGTTGAGGAGCTTTGCTCTAAGATCCTTCACCCTAGGACTTTCATGACACAGACCAACATCTATATTATAAATGGTGGTCTGCACAAATGTATACATATTGTGCAGGGCCTGATCGTAAGAGATGCCAAACACATAGTGCGCTTTGAAAAGTTCGTCAAAGGCTGAAATAGAGGACTTAGCCTTGCAGGGAATGAGCTGACCATCCACCACAATGTAGAAGTCATTGATGGTGCGACGTGTTGTTCCAACCGCCAGAATGTAGGGCTGCCTCCCCTGGACTGAACTGGTCGTCTCTTGAAGGTTGCGGCATGACTGAAAGAAAAATATCAACAGAAAAATCAGATGATTACTTTCCAACTTCACTCTGAAGCACTTATGAGTTTGAGCTACTTACTTTGTGAAAGCGGACAACATGGCTCAGAGCTTCTCGAACGGTGATCTTTACAGGTCTCTTCTTCCCACCGGGTGGTGGAGGTAGGAGGTAAACCAGCAATAACAGAGCTGCCATGTCACTGTCCCAAGCTGGCACAAGATTTAAATAAACAGTCAGCTATGCATTTCATGCTTTTTCTAGAACAACACTGTAATAAAACAGTTATTCACACTAAATTCATTACTTGAGCTTACACATTTCAGCCAAGTAAGTTTTGATATTTTGAAATAAAAAAAATATGTATTTCTTCTTTTTGCATTCCAAAATGAATGGTGGTGGTGGTGGGGAAGAGATCATTCAAATGTAAACTTACTTGATTCATCATTTCCTTCTGGGCTCTCCTCTGCAGACTGAATGAGAGACTCCAGTACCGGTGTCTTTGTGAGGTTGTTGGCTTCTTTGATGACTTTCACCTTCAAAGAGGTTCCCCATTTTTCCATTAGTTTTGATGAGACTTCTTCTCCAAACATCATCTGGAAATCCTGTACCACCTTAAAATCAAACAAAACCACACACACAAATTTGGAAACTGCACAGTTCAGCAAACAAAGACATTTTAAAGTCTGCTAATCTTTTTGAACTAATTAAAACAGTCATGACCCACTATTCTGAAATAAGACGACAAAGCCTGCAGCTTAAGACGCTATATCCAAAGCGGACTTACCAGGCCTTTTGTGTCCAGAAATCTTGGGAACACACTAAGGATGGTCTCACACTTCTCTGAATCCTGAATTAGTTCTTGTCTGTGCTTAAATGTTTGTTCCATTTTCAAGAAGATCTGGCTTTCATCTGTGCTGTGTCTCAGCAGGGAAATGGCCTCTCTGCACAGATCGCCCTCCAACTGATGCTCTGCATTCACGGGTCTTCCAAACTGTGGTCCTCTGTTGCTTGATGGATCTCTACTTGTGCTGCTCCTTCTCCTGCCACCATGGAGTTCACGCTGCATGTTTTTTAGTTTCCAAGCGATGTAGCCTTCATTACTTTTGGAATCAAAAAAGTGCTCCTACAGAAAATAAAATAAGTCTTAACATATGATCAATTCATCCTGGAATCAAGTTTTTTTTTTGCAGATAACCTGTAAATAACTGTCTAATAATGGTGTAGACATGTGTAGTCACTATTTTGGCATTTTAGTGAATCGAATTTAAAATATAAATATTCTGCGTAAAACTGTCAGGGTAGCGCCCTCTTCAGATAGTTTGTACATTTGAATTTGGATAAGCAATTGCTATTGGCTAAAAGATACCCTGTGACATTACTGTTCCCATATGTGGTCAGCGGCACTGCCGCTGTGGAGAATAGAAGCAGCAGAGTCTCAAGCTCAGCCAATTATACATAGCAAGTTAGAATGGGAATAGCAAGTGAGTGTTTATGGCTCTGCACCAGTAGCCTGGGGCAATACAAGCCATCGGTACAAAGCGATATAGCTCAGGGCTGCTCGGCTCCTCCAAAATACCTTTTTCCCTCTTTGATAAAGGAGGTGGACAGATATCATCGAACTCCAATGGCTGCTCATGTGAATGTGTGTATGATAGCGGGGAATCTCAAAGTCTGGGGCAGTGTGGGCATGCAATTTGTGTCTTGGTTGGCCAGGCAACGACTCCTCATGGTGCATTTTTTAAACAGGACATATGTGCAGGGTAAGACTCTGGTGGTGGTGAGGTGCCTTGCGCTTTAACTCGTCTAAAAGGGACACCACAATACCAGTTTTAAATATTAACTGCAGGAACAAATACTTAATACTCACATATCCTTTTTCAGAGTATGGGTCTTTCAGACAGGGAAACAGGGTGACGATTCCTAATGCATAACGTGTCCTTACATCCATTGGTGGAGCAGTCCTAAACAGGAAAGCTGACAGAATTAATCTTCTGAGGTTACACTTTTTTCTTTGCTCGATATAAATTACGATTTGTGTGCATATTTCATCAGGGTCTCCGCCAGAGATCGTCCCTCGTCTGTGAGAGGGGGAGGTGGGTGCGTGCACAAATTGTTCTGCTGTAGATTCTAGTTAATATGATCCGCACTTGTGTAGCGCCTCTCAGAGTAAGGACTCCAAAGCGCTTTACACTACAGTGTACCATTCATCCATTCACACACACATTCACACACTGGTGGTGATGAGCTACGATGTAGCAAAAGCTGCCCTGGGGCGCACTGACAGAGGCAAGGCTGCCGAGCACAGGCGCCACTGGTCCCTTCGACCACCACCAGCAGGCAAGGTGGGTTAATGTCTTGCCCAAGGACACAACAGCAGAATTCTCTGTCCGGAGCCGGGACTGAACCTGCAACCTTCAGATTACTGGACAACCCGCTCAACCTGTTGAGCTGCTGCTAATATCAGCGGATGGAGGGCCCGTGGTTCGTTTCACTGCCCCCTAGGATGGGGGCGGGCATGAGACAGCCTGGTGGGGGACCAAGTGGCCCGCCAGGCTTATAAAGCGCTGGGGGTAATCCTGTGCATCATCCTATTTTTGATTGCATATGAAAACTACTCACCCATACTGCTCAATCATCGCCGATACAACCATGTTGACCAACTTCCGCCGTAATGGGTCCTTAACCTCTCTTGTTTGTCTGTATTCTTTGAGTATTTTCTCACCTCCTGGCTTGGTTTGCAGAAGTTTTTCAACAAGCTTCAGAGTGAAACAACAAAAATAATTAAAGTACAGACAGTGCACTTGAGAATTATTCACCGTGCATCACTTTTGTTTTCCCACATTTTGTTTTCTTACAGGCTACAGCCTTGTTTTTTCTTAAACTTTCTTGTTTTTTTTAACTAAACTTCTATGCACAACCCTCCATAATAATGTGAAAAAAGATTATTGGGATATTTTGCAACTGTATTAAACATGGTAATTAATTACAAAAGCATAAATATTCACTATTTTTGAGATAAAGTGCAAAATTATGCTATGGCAATTTTCTTCAGCAGGAGGAACTGAGAGAAAACTCAGAATAGATGGAAAAATTAATGTAGAAATGCACAGACCTCCTAAATAAACACCTGAGTGCACCCTTGACTTCGGACTGAAGCGACGGTAATCTTTCAGCAGAACGTCTTTAAGCACACAGCCAAGATATCACAATGTCTGTGGAGACTGTGTGTTTGGTCTCAGTTTGGACACAGTGGTGTCATTTAATGAGACTTTGAGTGTGTTTGCATTGTGTGTTCCTTTTCAGTCAATTCAGCTCCTTGTATTAGTTTCAGTTTCTGTGAATGTTTAAGCCCGACGTCAGGAGCAATTTTTGTTAAATTATGTTTCTTATACTGTACTGATTTTTACCTGTGCTACGTGTCCTCAATGTTACCCCAGATCTCCTAGATGCTTACGTTGTAACAAGACAAAATATGGAAAAAGTGATGCGATTACTTTCCAGATGCACTGTATAGAGAGCCTAAGTCTCCTCCCTTTCCGGTCGGCTCATGGGTCCCCAGAAGAATGAAAACATTGAATGGAAGTCAACGGGGCTAAAACCGCTATTTTCTAATCTGCTTTGCCTTACGCCCTGGATCGCACACGTTGTACTGCAATTTAAATGAAAACTAATGATGGGTGTTTGGACCCCACCAGTCATGTACTTTATTTATCAGCTTGTAAATGTTCATAATTAGAATGACTGCAAATCAAACATCAGCACGTCGCATTTATGACGTCACCACAGAATCTCTTCTCCCGTAGTGTAGCTGCTACTTACCAAATGGCCAGATTTATGGTTTTTCTCCATCTGAAGGAATGATTTGAAGTTTGCTGAACTTACAGCTATTTTCCCTCTGTTTTTCTCCCGTGTCTGGTTCGATGACGTCACTTTTGTGAAATGTATTTGTAGTCTTGGGCTTATTTTCACACAAAATCTAAAATAACGTTTCCTCCCGTTAGAAAATAAGCACTTTGTTGGTATCAAAATGCATCTTTAAAATTCACGGACATCATATGTGAAATCCCTGGCACATAACAAGCGGAATTAGAAAATTGCGGTTTTAGCCCCATTGACTTGCATTCATTTTTTTGTTCTTCTGGGGATCCGTGGTACAGAAGTAGATGGGCATGACTTAGCCTCCCTATTAATAACAGCCTCCATTTATAAACAAATTCACACAAAATTAAATCAAATAAATTTAAATTATTTAAATGAATTGAAAATGTCACCTCTTTGGCTTGAAAAGAAGCGTTGTCATTTTGATCTCTTCTTGGGGACATCATCGTGGTTTCATCAATGCGACGTCTTTTAGGGGACAGAACAGATAACTCGCTGTCTGATGAAAAAGATGACAAGGAGAGCGTGTCTGTGCATGAGGACTGCACCGAAGATTCTAAGGAAAAACAGAAATACAGATCAGTACTTGACAACCTTTAAATCATTTTAGCCAAAATAAAGAAACTAATTATGTCTGTCTGTGGCTTCAGAATTTCACTGAAACAAGGGGGAATTTAAAAAAAAAACATGAAGTGTAAGTAATAACCTTTAACTTTTAGTTAGATGTATAAAATAAGATGTAGCTAATTTAACAGTGCTACTGTTACCTTCTACAGAAGAGGCATCAACGAGGGTCCAGATAATGTCTGATTTCTCCTCCAGAACATCAGTAAAGACATCCTCATCTACTTCTGTCCCAGTTTCATCCACAAGATACATCCTTTTATCATCTTGGATGCCAAACTTCTCCTTGGCTGTAAATGCATATAAAATTATTTTAGAAGCTTAAATTATTCAAGTATACAATTTGTAGTTTAATTATATTTACCTAATATTTAACACATTGCCTACTCAAAGATTAAGAATTTAACTTGTATAAAAAAACATAAAAATGCATAATTTTAAGCAGATGAACCCAAATGAAAACAAAAATGTAATACCTTGACTGAGGAATGTAGAATATGAGGCTCCATTGAGCTTGATATAGCGTTTTTTCCCTATATACTGCACTTTGAAAAGCATCGTCTGGAAAAAAAGAAAAAGAATCACAGCAGCCAGCATATAGCAATAACCTTAATATGCATTCCTTTGCACAGTGGAAACCTTCTCATCTTTAGTCCAGATTTATTTTGTTTCCCCAACTGAAATCGATTGCTCCTACTTAGCTTTTCAAGGCTCCTTCCAAAGAAACACCCAGTTTTCAGTCTTTGAGCCGGATTTATACTTCTCTGTCTGCGTCGGTATTGACCCTTTGCATGTGACGTCACGCCACACATGGGATCGGCTCGTTTACCATGATGGATGGCAAAATAATAAAGTATCTTTGAATTGAATAAGACCGTTTATACACGTTGAAACTCCGGTGAAGCTAAGAAGCCTGTCTGTTGCCTTTTATTGCTTTTATTTAGTTGATTTTACAGTAAAATGGTAACTACTTGCTGGGTGGCTGGCTGCACTAACAGACAAGAATGTAAAACTCGGTTTTTTTTTTCAAATAACTTTGATGGAGACTGAGGACGGAGAACTGCAGCGATCAATCATAATGGTGGCAGGATTCTTCAGAAAAGCGCAACGCCCTCTGTTGTCCATGGTGGGGAATTGCTTTGCAACTCTTGCTAGCTTACTAAGTCCGAAGGGAAAATGTCACCATTTAGGCGGAAAATAAAGTGCCACTCCTGGGTTGGATGATTTGTAAACGTGCTCGCCACTAGAGTGTACACCGCCTGGGTCTTCAAGCTTTTCTTCAATGTTTTTAGGATTAGCTTTATGAAAAATTCTGGGAATAAACGCATTCTCCACGATTGCTAAAGCATGTAAAGGCGGGAGTCAGCAGAACTGCAATTCAAAAAGAAAACTAGTATTTCGGGGAAAAAACTGCTACGTTAAATTAGCTCGTCCCATCACTACAAAGCACATTTTCCATTACTGCTGGCATACAACATAAAGTATTCCCTGGGTTTCTTGCTAAATAGCTTCAGTTAAAGACAGCTTCCATGGCATTTATTTACTGCATTTTAAAATTGAGAGTTGTGTATAAATACATATTTTGCGTCGTCTTTAGTTAGCAACAGCAAATTAGTTCCTCCTAAACTAAAAGCCAGGCAATAATGATGACAATATGTACCAGTTCTAGCGGCCAGTTTATTAAACGTTGTCTTCGAAATTAAAATTCCATCAATATATGCCTTACCTGTAAGCTATGTTGTCTGGAAAATCACTGTTTCTTCCACCGCTCCGTAAACCAAATGGAGGACCGTCCCGCCGAAAACTTTCCTTTGGCCGCCTGCACGCGTCGGCGTCAACAGACACACATGACGTAAACACGCACGATACGTGAAATGAGAACCGTGGAGACTCAATCACAAATGAACGTTGGTTACGTATTGTAACCCCAGATTCTATGAGTCTAGTCGCAGCCCTTAAGCTAGCTGCTATTGGAAGGATGATCTCCGCATCAGCCAATCATGAAGAGCTTAAATGTACGCCCACCAATAGTGGGCCCCCTCGTGGTATATAACCGCAGTGACCCCACTGCTCACCTCCAATGGCTCTTATTCCCATCATAACCAGTGGGGCCAGTGGCTTAAGGGCTGCGACTAGACTCATAGAATCTGGGGTTACAATACGTAACCAACGTTCTATTTCGTCTAGTCTTAGCCCTTAAGCTAGCTGCTATTGGAATAAAGCGCAGCTGGATGGGTTTACGCCCCACTGGTTAACACAACCAATGGACACACCCAATCAAATCTCCTCTAGTGGGGGACGTTCAGCCTCAGACCAGGCCTAAAGACTGAGGCAGGCACGATAAGAGAGGGGCCCCCACTAAAAAACATCATCCACAAGAGGATAAAATCCATCTCAGCAAGGCCAATGAGGTGCCATAAGCATTCATTTAGCCTGCTGGGGTCCAAGCACTGAACGAGTGATGGAACCTGAAGACACATCTCGTAAATAATAACGAGTAAAGGAACAGGGTGAAGCCCATGAAGCAGCCTGACAAATGTCTTCCATTGACACACCACTGAGGAGCGCCATCGAAGAGGAAATCCCTCTGGCCGAGTGAGCCCTGAGTGTCTCAGGAGGATCCCGCCCTGATGATGTGTAAGCGAGTGAAATGGCGTCACACAGCCAGCGTGAAAGGCGCTGGGCCGACAGCGCCTGACCAAGGGAAGACTCCCTGTAGTGCACAAACAGGTTTTGTGAGCGACGAATCCCTGAAGTGCGTGACACATATCGTGCAAGCGCGCGCACCGGGCAGAGAAGGTGAGAAGCCGCCTCCTCCTCAGAATTATGGGGAGGAGGAAAAAGTCCAGCCAATGAAATTGACCTGGATTTGAAGGAAGCATTAATGCTTTTGGGCACAAAGGCTGGGTTGGGGCATAAAACAGCAGACCCGCCATCCTCCCGGATCCTGAGGCATGCGGGAGCCACTGAGAGGGCGGTTAGGTCACTCACTCTCTTAACTGATGCTAACGCCAGCAGCAATGCAGTTTTAAGCGACAGGAACTTGAGTGAGACCTGGTCCAAGGGTTCAAATGGAGCTTCAGATAAGCCGTGCAGAACCACCGTTAGATCCCATTGGGGAAAAAGCGGGCGGGACACAGGTCTGTTCCTTCTGACACCTTTTAGAAAACGTTTTGTGAGGGGATGATTGAAAACAGATCTATCTCCAAAACCCTGATGACATGATGAGATAGCTGCAGCATATGTCTTAACAGTGCTGAATGCGAGGCCCCTGTCCATCAGTATCTGCAGAAATGATAGGACATCCGCCAGCTGGCAGGAGAGCGCTTGAACATTCCGTTCTGCGCACCAGTTCTGGAAAGCTGCCCATTTAGCAGCGTAAGAGGCAATGGTAGAGGGCGCCCGCGCACTCTGAATCGTGGCCACCACATCATGCGGCAGCCCAGAAGCCTCTAAGCGTGACCGCTCAGCGGCCAGACCCACAGCCGTTGGCCTATTTCCGGAGGATGTTTGATTATCCCATCCGCCTGGAGAAGGACGTCCGCCCTCCACGGGAGCCTCCACGGGGAGCCGGACACTAGCGCTTGCAGGTCCGGAAACCATGACGCGGACACGCGCCTGGGAGCCACCAGAATCACCGAGAGCTGTTCTGACCGAATTCGGTCCAGGAGACGGGGAATCAGAGGGACTGGTGGAAACGCGTAAAGGAGCGTTCGAGGCCAGGGCTGGTGTGAGAAGGCGTCCGCCCCGAGCGGGGGTCCGTCCCGGGGACTCAGGGAAAACCACAGGCGACACTGAGCGTTTTCGCGAGCCGCGAACAGATCCACAGACGGTTCCCCGAACCTGATCCAGATCTGTGATATCAGTGCAGGATGTAGACGCCAGTCTGAGTCGCGGGGTCCCCCTCTCGACAGGATGTCTGCCGCTACATTCAGTACCCCCGGAATGTAGATGGCTCTGATGGACAGCAGGTGGACATGTGTCCAACACAGTAAATCTGTGGCGACATGCAACAGTGGGAGGGATCGAACTCCCCCTTGGCGATTTATGTAGGCTGCCGCTACCCGGTTGTCTGTGTGAACTTCGACATGACGGCCCTCGAGAAGGGCAGCGAAGTGTCTGATCACATTCCTCACTGTCATAAGCTCCAACACATTTATGTGCTCGTGCGTGTGGGAGGACCAGCGATCTGCCACCGTGTGGGACAAGCACGTGCCCCCCCACCCCGACAGTGACGCATCCGTAAACACAGATACGTGTGACGCAGGACGTCCGATGGGAACCCCGCGTGAGAGGATGCAGGGGTTCCCCCAGTGAGCGAGGTCCCCGCCCACTGAAGGGGGAATCCTCAACATACGTCTCTTCTGACGTATTGGGTGTACCCGGAGGCGGACAAACCAGCGTTGCAAGCGCCTCGTGCGCAGCAAACCTAGCGGCACTACTGAATGGGCTCCGGACATCATGCCCAGGAGTTTCATGACTAACCGGGCTCTCACGATCTTGCGGGGTTGAACACGGGAGATCACCGTGGAGAGATCTGCCGCTCTTGCAGGCGACAAACGTGCTCTCATTAGGGAGGCGTCCAACTCCACCCCGAGATACACAATCGACTGGGATGGAAGGATGGAGCTCTTTTCCCAGTTTATAGAAAACCCTAGGGTTGACAGATGCTCTGTCAACCTCCTGGTTTGCTGTGACGCCTCGTCCTCGGACCGAGCGCACAGGAGAAGATCGTCCAGGTAAAATAAGACCCTCATTCCCTCCGTGCGCAGTGGCTGCAGCGCGGTCTCCAGACATTTGGAGAAAGTGCGCGGGGCTAGCGAGTAGCCGAAAGGGAGGCGATTGAACTGATATTGAACTCCCTTGAACGAAAAACGCAGAAACTTCCGGTGGTTTGGAACTACTGGTATGTGGAAGTATGCGTCTTTCAGGTCGATTGACGTGAACCAATCCCCGGGGCGCACATATTCCAGGACTTGTCTCATCGTTAACATGCGGAAATGCATTACTGCTATGGAGCAGTTGAACAGGGACAGGTCGAGAATCGGCCTCATTCCTCCCGACTTCTTCGGTACTACGAAGTAGCGGGAGTAGAAACCCGAGAGTTCTTGTCCGCGAGGGACTCGTGAAATAGCGTCTTTGGACAGAAGTTCCCGCAGCTCCAGCTCTAGCGCCTGAGACTGTACTTGCGATGTGAACGTCGTCTCCACGATCCTGTTGAAGGGAGGTGGAGTGGCCTGAAAATGAAGTGTGTGACCGCAATGAATGGTGTCCGAAATCCATTTGCTCATGATGCAAAGGCGGCGCCACTCGTGCGCGCGTTCCGACAGTGGACGCGTGTGCGCGGTCACGTGAACAACGTCTGAGGGTTGTGCATGCGCCCTTACCGCCGTCGCCCGTACCAGAGAACTGGGGGCGACCCATGGAGGGCTGCGCTCGAAAGGGCAAGTGCGAAACAGCTGGAACAGGCTGGTCCACACCGCGGAGCGTGGAGTCCGAGAGTGAAGGACGAGTGGGAGCCGGGCCTGTGCACGGGGGGGACAGAGTGCTAGCGGATGGAGCCGCGCACTGTGCCGCCGCGCGTGGTCGAGACAGCGACATGACATCCCGCCCCACCCAACGGCGTGGGGAGAGCGGGACGAGTTGGGCCTGGCCGGATGCTGGGGCCAGAGCGCAAATGGAGCGCACCCTTACGGCTGGCCGTGTATTATGACTACCTGCAGGAACATGTATGCGTGCAGCAGTGCTTGGTGTGGGGAACATGTGTGAAAACTCGGCAGAGGATTCTGCGGAGGACTGTAGGATTGAGCTCTTTCAGTGACGTTTTTTGGGTTTTATTTCAAAACCAACAACATCAGAACAATCATGTACACACACATTCCCCCCAAAGAGTCACTTCCGTGGCTGCTTTCGGCGAGGCTCCTGCACCTGGGACTGCCAAGACGGCGTCTGCTGGCCCCGCCGGAACCGTTGTCCGCCATCTCGCTGGTCCCGCTGATGTGGAGCCGAAGCGGGAGGCCGGCTCCGTGGAGCGGGCGGTGCAGCTGGACGTCTGAAGCTTCCGCGCCGTTCGTCCCATCCTCTGGCTGAATGGCCGGAGTGCGAGGCTGACCGAGGGTGGACCAGGTCTCGCACCGTAGCCGATAGTTCGGCTGTCTTCTGAGCCCTCTCAATGACGCCCCTAAGATGGGGACCAAACAGAACATCGGTGGTGATGGGGCCGTCCAGCATCTCCCTTTGCAGATGTTCCGGAATGGAGGGCAGGGCCTTCAGCCAGATCGCTCGCTGGATGAGGGTCTGCCAGGCAGCGATGCGAGCAGAACCAGTGAGCACAGCAGCACACAGATTGAGGATGGCATCAGCAGTCTTAGTTATGACGGCTTTCGACTCCTCGGAGCTTCCAGCTCCTCCATCATCTTGGAGACGCCGAAGGCAAGAAGGGCGATGTTATTCCCTGCAGCGCCGGTCTGAAAGGCACACTGATGTGCGCGGTCGGTGAGCCGCGTCAGCAGCTGGTCATGTTTTGAAGCGGGAACAGCTCGCGGGCCAGCGAGGTGGTTCTTGGCGCCGAACAGCGAGGCCAAATCCGGCTCTAGTGGAGGAACGGACGGCCAGCCTTGGTCGGAAAACCCCTCGACCTTGGTGATGGGCGCATATGTGGAGACTGGCGCCTTGAGCTTGGCAGGCTCGGAGAAGGCGGCAGACCAGCAGCTCATAGCAGCGGGGAAGCGCGGCCAGACAGGGTCTGGACAGCGTGTCTGAGTTGCCCGGAAAATTCCAGCCAAATCATCCGCTTCAGGCAGGGCCGGTTCTGGCACAGCTAGCCCCTTGCGGGCTGCTTACGCAGAAATGATGGCGGGCAGCTCCTGGACCAGTGCTCTTACTGCTGGCAGGGAGGAGCGAGAAGCCACTGGGGCAGAAGGACCCGCTGAGCGAAGCTCGTCGACCTCCGTTATGTCTAGGAGGGACGCCGCCTCATCGTAGTTTTCGCTATCAGTGACGTCATCCAGCCGGTTGAAGCCAGCCGGCTCCTGACCGGCGTCGAAGAAAACCAAAGCCTTGTCCAGCGGGTAGGAGTCAGCCACCGGAAATTCTTCGTCGGCGGCGGGAGTGAAGTACTCGACCCGGCGAATCTTCTCCGCCACGGGCAGAGCGGCACAGAACGGGCACGAGGCCTGCGGGGTCAAGGCCAGGCCAGCGTGGTGAGCCCCGAGACAGACCTCACACTTAGCGTGCAGGTCGCCGCTGGAAATGGAGCCCGTCTGGCAGGTCGGGCAGGGTCTGGTGTCGCTGGACATGGCTGGTAAGTCGTCTTCGGATAATTTGCTCTTTTGAGATAATATTTGCTCTTTAATAAAGCTCTCAAGCTTGGCATGAAGAGAAAAAGGAGGTGAGCAGCGGGGTCACTGC